TACATACACATACACACACACAAACACACGCGCACGCATTCGCGATACTCGTAAGCTCGCGAGACCCTTCGGGATTCTCGGGATGGAGAAGCTCGCCTGGTTCGCGAGAACAGGGTTGCACGCACCGTACCTTCTCGGGGGTGATGAGCGGCGTGATATACGTGGTGACCGCCGTCGTGTACACCTTACGATGACCACTGGGTAGATGGAAAAACTTGCAGGGTCACCCAGTACCACTGGTGGAGTGTACCGAGTGCCGTGCGGTCGGCGCGCGTTGCTCTTCCTCGGCGCGGGAGAGAAACAAGTGTCTCGATCGGAGCCGATCTGATCGACCGGCTGCGAGCGGCGGATACACGGGTTGTTCAGGGTTGTTGAGCACTCACGCGCGTGTACCTGTTGTTGTTCCGTGCGACGTTTTATGCGTAACACGAATACAACAAATTCACCACACTTCCGTGGATCTTGCTGTATTCACTGTATTCGCTGTAGTCACAAAACGTCAACGGTGTAGGGTTGAAGGATTCGCCGTGTGATTTTTCACGATTCGTTTTTACCACAACGGACTAAGGTGCTTTCGGAGAGACGCAGATCATCGATCCTGGTTATGGATTTGTTTTAGAGAGAGAATTCCCTCGACGGCTCTTTCACAACTTTTCTCACACCGGATTTAGACTGTAACTGCTGCCGGATTCGCGCTGCGATCGTACACTTTTCGCGACGAGGAAGACACTTGAAATGATCCTCGGGTCCCTTCAGCGGGCAACGGTTACCACGGTCGCGTAGGTGACGGGTGACCACGGGTGACGGCTGTTTGCTGAGAGCGTTAATTGGTTTCGCGTGGGCACTCTTCCTCTTCCGAGTTAGTTAGTCCTGGGGGTCGGCGCGCCTCTGTCTAGTTGAAGTGGAGTACCGGTAACGTCGTATCGGACGACTCGTCGTGTATCCTCCGCTGTTATCACCGTCACCGGGGAAGGTACAAGCGAGACAGACGAGGAATCACCCAGGATAGACAGAGAGAAAGAGAGAGACAGAGAGAGAGAGAGAGGGAAAGAGATCGACTTGCGAGCACACAGGCAGGTGGTCGTCGTCGCGCTCTTCCGTCACCGTACGTCGGGTTTCAATGCTGCACGCTGTGACGCCGAGAACAGAATGGGGCGATCGTAGAGGCCCGGGCAGTGAAGCCGTAGCGAGGGGAGGTGGAGAGGTGCCGCGCGGGTGGTGAGACGGCAGAGTGGGGTATCGGATAGAGGGGCGAGTGGGTATTCCGGGAAGGGGCCCCGCTTCATCCCGCTCTTTCGCCGTTTCGCGTCCTCCGCCCTCGAGCGAGCGCTACCCCTCCGTGGCGCGCAGGCGCCCCCGGGGCAGGCTGCCACCGGCTGCTCGAGGGGAAGTACGTTTTCCAAAGGAAGACGAAGGGAGAGCTATCCTAAAGAGGAGGAGGGTGAAACAGCGTGATAGAGGGAGGGAGGGAGAGGGGGGGAGAGGGGAACGCGGGCTCTTCTCCTTCTCGCTCGCTTCCTTCCTTCCTTCGCCAGCAGCACACCCCAGCATCGACCGACGCACGCTACTCCGAGCCGCTTTCGTATCCTCTCCTCTCCCGCGAGCGGCGTTCGTTTTCCCTCCTCTACCCGCAAGACCTTCTCTGGCCGTGCCGACCCAACGGGAATACTTAATGCCAGGAGAGAGGCTGACTGCTTGACTGCCTTACGCCAAGCCACGCTCGCTTGACGGCGGGATGGCAGCGAGGGAGATCAGCACACGGAAGTGAAGAGGCTCGCGCGAGCCGCCAGATGTTGCTTGCGAACCTTGCGGCTACTTGTTACGCGTCCGCGAGTTACTCTCAGCTGATGACACAGGATCACGATAGAATTGCCAAGTTGTCGAACAGATAGCATACAGACGCCGAGAACATTTTTATCCGTCTATATCGCGTCAAATTCTATTCATTCCCATCTTCTCACTTGATACACTTTGTTATCTATTGTATATTGATTTCCGTCAATTGACCATGTACGACCATGTATTGACCATATACATATTTAATTCGAAACAACAAGTTGGAGCGCAGTCGGATATTCTATACAGTACGTATAAACTTGAATATATATGTAGATCGAGTGCAACTCTTATTGAACTATTTAAAGCGAAACGAGCTGACGGCCGCAATGAAGGTCCGTTCTGTCTATATTCTATCGACAGCTGCCAAGATAACGCAACAGCGATGACCCGCTGCGCAAGTAGTTCGAACCCTCGCTGGCTCGGACCAGAACCGGAGTCCGGCCAATATTGACCACTACTACTGCCGTCGCGTCGGATCCCGTAGCCAACTGTTTCCTCGGCCCTGCTGCCGGTGCTGCCAGAGGGCTGGCCGGAAGCCAGGGCCTCTCTGTCACTCGTCTAGCGTCTCGGTGTGAACGTATCCTATGCTTAACGCGGAAGGAAGGGACTAACCTAACCTAGAAAGATTTCATTGAGCCGCAACGTGACTTGGCTGGCCGCCAATACTATGGACTGTCTACGCGGACTGTCGCAATGACCGCCACTCGCGAGATCCTCTGCCATAAGAATCGCCGTTTTTGGGAAATATCGTCATCATAGAATGTGCCGTCAGAGCTCCTTGGATAAGGTTCGAATGGTTCCTCGGTTATCGAAGGGGATAGGCGACCATTCGGGGGTCGTAAGATCCTCCGGGTTAAGTCTCCACGAAAGTATATGTTCCGATATCGATATTACGATTTTCCTTTATCACTGGAGGAAGATAAGAAATTTGCTTTGTTTGCCCGCTATTCGGTCTACGAGTTAGGGATGCTGCCGATTGTTATCGATAACGCTAGCACCGGAGTACAGGATTCCTAATACTCAAAACGATGGCGCTTGCGGGAGACGAGCCGTAGGGGAAGGCGTACGTTGCTTGCTCGCGTACATTTGGCTTGTGTCCAAAACGAGACGCTGAATGAACTTGGCGGGAAAACCGCATTGGCGCGTGTTTCCTTCTGCCGTACGACAGACGCGACTACAATGGCTGGCAATATCCTTGCACCGGCTGCGTAGAGACGTCTCTATGTCGGAAGATAACACTGACGATAACCTCGGAATTTATCGACCCCCTTACGATAGCAAATATATTTGTATTGTCCCGGTCTTTCATGCAGCAAGTTCTGTTGAATAATTTTATGTGCAATATAACTGAATTTCGACAATTTAATATTCCAGCCGCATAACGAATATGCAAAAATGTTAATTACATGTCAATCATTATTAACTATAATTACTCGCATCTCTGCTTTTTTCCATATATATATAT